CCCCCGGCCGGACACACGGCCCCCGGCTGGACACACGGCCCCCGGCCCGGCCACGGGCGGGGGTACGGCTGGCAGCGACCGTGTCCCCGTGGAGGTGATGCAGGCACGGCTCCGGTGGGCTGGAGGATGGGATGTGATCAGTGAGGGTCACGTTGGCTGCGGAACCACTTCCTCATGCCGCATCCTGGCTCTGCATCATGCTCCTTCTCTCCAGCATCTGCAATTTTTCTAATGGACTCTATGGAAGTAATTGCAGCAGGAATGCTTTAATGCAGCACGGGCCGCGCAGGGATGCAGCCGCTGGTCACTCCGTGGCATTAATCACCGCAGCATCGCTGGGGGCAGGGAGCTGCCTGTCCACGGCTAGGGCAGGGCTGCCCGCCGTGCATGGAGACAAAGGTCCCAAGGGATACCTGGAGGTGCCTGGGATGTCCCAGGTGCCAGCTGAGTACTCCTGGTGCGGGGAAGCAGCTGCTGGTGGAGGGACTGAGCATCCCCCTCCAGTCCTTTGTCCTGCCCGGCTGCCTCTGCCCGGCTGGGAGCTCCTGGTGCCCGTGGGTGACAGTGCGGGGACAGTCCTGGGGGCCACTGCCACACACAGCCTAGGCTGGGCACACATCAGCGTGGCTGGGGAGCAGGATCTGCACCCCCCTTGGGCAAATACCAGCGCACGGGGTGAGAGGGACAAGCCCCGAGGTGGTTTCAGGCAGTCCTACGATCCTGCCGTGTTTCCAGGAGCCTCATAACATCCCCCATCCCACGTTTCCCACATAGCTCCAGGCCATCCTCCCTCCCCGGCCAGGAATTCTTTCTGTCGCCTTCTTCATCCCGATTAGTCACGCGTCCCCTCCTCCCGCCTGCTCTCACCCTCTCTGGGCCATCCCAATTTAGCTCCTGTTGTCATTCCAATCCTCCCGGCTGCCTCCCACCGCCGAGCCACCCCACGACATCAGCTCTGGGAAACAGAAAGTGCCCTTGCAGCCCCCCTTCTTCCCCGAGTGACCTGGGGATGCTGCCCCGCGTCCCCACGATCCATCTGTGCCACGTCCAGACCTTCCCTGGGCTCCCACCTGAGCCCTGTTGAGGAGCTTGGGGACATGGCCCAGTGCTGCTGCTCGCCTGGGGACTGGAGAGTCCCCAGTGTCCCCGGCTCCTGCTGAGGAGGTGACCACGGCAGGGCCCTGTGGCATGGGAGCTCTGTGCAGGGCTTGGAGCAAGGGCTGTGCAGGAAGGGAAGGGCACAGCCCCGAGGAGAGCCCTGGGGAGCCCAGTGTGACCTCCAGGGAGAGATGGATGCATTTCTGGCTTGGACTCCCAGTGTCTGAACAGGGTGGGGGATCCAACGGGCCTGGCAAAGGGCAGCAGGAGCCTGGCCCAGCAGGGAATGGAGAACTGCCAGAAATACTAGCCCACAATTTTTTTGCCTCAGTCAGTGCCTGAGGAGCCAGTCCTCGGCAGCTGGGAGTGGAGGCACATGCCCTTCCCTGCAGAGCAGCTGAAACAACCCGAAATATCCCACCGCACGCACTTGTATCCAAAAGGAACATGATGCAAAGGAAATACTGTCCGAACCTTTATTGGAACCTTTTTCTAACCAGGCTAACAACTCAAACACCCAGGAAGACAAAAGGATACAGAACGCATGTGGATGGAGAGCAAGGGGAGCTTTACAATGAACTCAAACAGATGCGCCGGTGTCGTTGGGGGTGGAATCAACCAACAGGCAGAGAACAGAGACACTGTTTCCTCGCGGCTTTTCCTCACATCTTGGCTTTTGTTCTAAATCTTCTCCTCATTGCCCGGGTTTCAAAGGTGGAGAGCTGCCCTGGGCTGGTGAGGGTGTTGTTCTCTAGGCAATAGCCCAAAAACTGGGGTGCTTGACCATGACACTGTTGCTTTGGAGACCCTCCCAGTCACGTGCAAACTGCCAGACAGCACCAAAGCCATGAGGATTATGTATTCTCTGGTGAAGAGGTAATAAAACCCCACTGGACCCTAAAGGGTAAAGCCTTCCCTTAGGCACCTGAACCTTCCCCTTTCTCAAAGCAATACCCTGAGAGGCTGAGCACGCAGCAGCTCCCGGTGAGCTCTGTGGGAACAGCCCAGCGCTGGGCACTCTCCTGCTGCTGAGCACAAACACCTCCCGCCCGAGGGAGCAGAGCAGCGCCTGCGGTGTTGGTGGAGCGACACTGGGACGGGGTGGGATTTTTAGCACATCTCACGCTCTCCTCAAAGCTGGGGGAGGATGCCTGCAGCAAGCTCTGCTCGTGTTGGAGACAACAGGGGAGGCCTCCCCAGTCCTGCCCTGGCTACTGAGCTCACATCAGGGCAAAGCACAAAGCTTGGGGAAGGGGGCAAAGCAGGACATGGCACGAGGGTCTCAGGATGGGGCAGGGTGGACATCCTTGCTTCCTGGTGGAGACCACAGCCAGTCACTTCCATCCTATCCCCTTCCTCATCACTGATGCAAAGGGTGACCGGTGTTCCTGCCCCACAAAGGGAAGAGGAGATCAGCAGTGGGAGATCAGAGAACTCCAGGGATTTTTGGTGATGGCAGCCCTATATCACGTGGCAGAGGAAGAGCAGCAGGGTTATTCCTCCACCAGAGCTGGTTTGTTACCTCTGAATTCCCCACACCTTTCCAGGGGGGCGTGATTTGTCAACAGAAGCTGGTTCAAGGAGATGGAGAGGTTTCTCCTGCCTTGCCCATCCCTACCACAATGAGGTTTCTCTCCAAGTACTGGTGGTGAGGTCCAAATGAGCCAAATTTGCCTTCCTCTCTCCAACATATCTGGCAACACTTCAAAGGCTCTTGCCTTCATGGACCCAACAGCATGACCCAAATAGCTCTTTTTAAAGTAATGCTCAATAAATAGAAGAAATAAATATTAAATAGAGGCCAAGTTCTCTCAGCCTGTTCAATATATGTACAATGCATAGCAAAATAATGATGATTGACTGTTGCAGACAAGTTTGGTACAAAGTCAGTCCCCAAAACAGCAAAAACATTGAGAAAATTGCAGTCAACATAAAGCAAAGCTCAGCTAAGTGCTGAAACCAATGGAGAAAGAACAGAATAGTGCTTTGAAACATCCCTCATCTTGCTTCCCAGCAAACCTGCAGAAACGGTGTTGGATTTTCTGGAGCTTGGGGTTGGGAGAGGTGGGACAAGTGTCCCTTGTGGGGACAAACCCATAGCCAAGGCAGGCCCAGTGAATGGGGAGAGTCAACGTCTCCAGGGTCAGGGAGACATTGGGAGCTGCCAGGGAAAGGCAGCAGGGATGCTTGTGAGCTGATTCAAAATCATGGGAGGGAAAGAACCTTTGAGTGTGAGACAGGCCTTCCAAAAAACAGCTAAGATATTATTATTATATTATCCTGATGTTGTGGCCAGCCCTGAACACCCCTTGTGTGTCTGACCACAGCAGAGAGCCACCAACACCAAAATGACCAAGCTGCCTTTCCACCAGGCGAAGCTGCTCTTTGCAGAGAGCACCTGCAGCAATCTGAGATGTTGGATGCAGAGCAAAAATCCATAAAAGTGGTGAATAAGAGAAATAACATTAAAAAATAAATAAAAAAAAGCACTGGCAAAAGGCACAGAGACAGAAAAACCCACAGCTTCACGCAAACCCACAAAAACCTCGTCTGTACACTAACAGGGAGGGTGTACTAAAGCTCGTACTAAAAATATTAAATAAGTTAAAAAATAAATAACACCGAGGGAAACTCACATGTACATCCACATGTGCACATACACACATACACACACAGACTTGGTCAGGTCCGTCACCAGAGGCTGGATTTTGCAAGGACTTTCCGCAGGGTTCAGTCTCTCACAGTCTCATCTCTTTTGTTTTCCCATGGGTGGGTCAGCGCGCAGGGATAAACACGGCAGGGGAGTCCTGGCGACGGCATCCTCCCAGGGAAAGCGGCGGTGGCTGCGGAGAGCCGGGTTTCGGGTTGAGCTCTGGCGGCGGAGCCAAGGCAAACAGCGCGGGGCCAGCTGGCACCGGGCCAGCGACACTTCCCCGGTGGCACTGCCAGCACCCCGCGCTCGGCCGGCCAGCAGACCCCCGCCGTCACCTCCTACACCCGTCCTAGACCCGTTTCTGTGTCACACCCATCACATTCCTGCGCAAATCTAGTGAGAAACCCGAGATTCCGACATGAAAACACGCAGCTCTGCCCTGCGTCCCTTTGTCCGTGCCGTGCTCTCCGCCCTGCTCCGGGGAGCGCAGAGGGACACGGTGGCAGCAGGAGTGACTGTCACTCCTCCGGCCACCTCACCGTGAGGGGCCAGAGCTGTAAACCTTTACACGAGACCGGCGGCATGGATACATTTGAACAAACAAACAGATCCGAAAATAACTTAACGTTGAGGGGGGGGCGAAATTAGAATAAATAAATACTGGTCCATTCTGACATACAATTAAAAATAAAATAATAATAATAATAATAATAAGTTAAATAAATAAATAATTTAAAGAGATTTACTCCAATGCAAGTCTGCTTGGGAAAGCCCAGGAGCATTTAGCTGCCACAGACTGTGCAGGCAGAGGCAGTCCTTGATGTAGGGATCAGCTGGACGAGTGCAGGAGCTGCCATCAGCCCCACACACAACCCTCGGGGTCATCTCCTGACCCACAGGGAGTGGATGCTGCTAACCCTCGTGTGGTGCTTCCATCATCTGTCCCCAGCCATGAGGACTCCAGAGAGTGTGAGTTTGGTATTTACATCAGTTGCACAAAGCCTCTCTTCTTTTCTTTCCTAGTTTTGGATCTTCGGGCTCGCTGCTTCCTTGCTACAGCTCTGCGTGTGCGTTACGGGGTGCCAAGGGGCAGGAGGCTGCTCCTGAAGCACTGTGGAGCTGGGGAGGTCTGGGTTCCCATCACTGCCTTTGGATCTTCCCAGGGAGCAGAAGGATGGGGCATTTCAGCATCAAACTGGGGAGACTCTTTGGGAAAGAAGCACGAGGTTTTCAGCCCTTTTGAGAGGGAGTTTGCTGCAGAAGGTGGGCAAGGGGCAGCTGCTGGGGCCAGCACAGGAGGGAAGGCAGCTCCATCCTGTCTTTCATCCCTCAGCCACAGCCCTGGAGTATTTGCTCAGCCCTACCAGGAGCGCTTCTCTTTGTGTCCTAGAAAGGGCCCTTCCAGAAGATGGACACATCCCCACTAAGCCACCAACCATACCAGTGCCCAGCTCTCCACTTCAGCTCCCTCATCCTCACACTGCCTTCAGCAAGCAAGGTGGGAGATGAGGGTCTGGGAAAGAGTTTTGGCCATTTGAAGGCACAGGACAAGAGGGACCAGCACCAGGAAAGACACAGGGAAAGAGATCCCTGACATAAAACTTCCTCTTGTACCACCCAGATGGAATCCCTGCCTGTGCTGCTGTACCTTTCCAACAGATAACAGATTTATGGGCTTGCTGAGGTGATCATCCACTTCCACCACAGCAGCTCATGGCCTCCTCCCCTTGCTGCTTTGTCCCTTCTCTGGCTGTCAGGGGCCTGTAGGTAATTCTGTAGATGGGGGGTGGGTTCTATTCCTTTCTACCCCCACTCCTCCTGCAGATGGTGGCTCCACTCAGCCCTTTGCTGTAACACTTAAACAACACACACCTCCTTGACTCATTAAGCCCAAACTCGTTAATAATCGTGCAGGATGGAAGGGGAGGGGATGGAAAAAGGGAGGGAGGGAAGTCTTAAGCCCAAATTAGCGTCTCTAAGCACCCAGGTGTTGTAAGAGAAATAAACTCCTCAGCACCAGCTCAGCCTGTGCTGGGAGAAGCCTTTGTTACCAGCAAAACACAGTAATTGCGCAGGCAGCTGGGCTGGCAGGGAGACAAAACCCCAGGGCCCAGGACAGCCTGTGGCTCCCTGGAAAAACAGGCAATTAGTGGGGGGCCCTTCCTGTCCCCCTGCACTGCTCTGGCCTCCCAGTAACAAACTGGGGCACCAGTGCATCCTGCTGCAGCCTGTGCCGCTGATCCTGCCCTGGGGCAGCCAGAGGGGCTCAAGGAGGAACGATTGCCTGGAATCCTCCCTGAAATTGCTGCGTGTTTTGAGGAAGGGGAATTGGGGTCCCCTGGCTCTTGCAATGCCCTTTTAACCCTGTGTGTTCTGACTGCACCCCACAGCTGCTATCTCTGCACCTCCCTCTGGTCCCACCAGCAATGCACTCTGAGGGCAATGGTCCCTGAAGAACTGAAACCCAAACTGTCTGAGGCTTGCCCCGAGAAGGGAAGCCCATGGCCGCTGTCTCCCACACGTGGCCTGGCCCTCGGAGCACAGCACGGCACCACCTCCCCTGTCCATTGTGCCTCACCAGCCCCAGGTCTGCTGCAGACCTCAGCAGGTGGTTTGCAAGCTATTCAGTGCTGGGGGGAAAAAACAACACTGCAAAAGGTGCTGCTACCTGGTAGGAAAGGGCAGGAGAAAGAGCAAACAGCCTTTTTTCCCCCCAGCAAGTACATCAGGAGGGATTTCTAGCCTTCTAATTATAGCAGGGACTGGCTGACTGGCAAAAAATAAGTATTTTCTCTGCAGAGTGGGCAGCAGCTCTGGAGGAGAGACCCAAAGGATGTGATACTCGCCTTGGTGGGGACAGCCATCCCCCCCATCACCGAAGCAAACTCCTCCCCAGCTGGGTCTGTCTCTCCAACAGAAGTTAATTGATTGCTTCCTGGTTTGTCAGAAGAGCAAGGAGCAGAATCTTGCCTTTGGACCCGCTGGTAGTGCTTTGGAGAGCAGTAGCAATGGGGAGATGGGAGCATCGGGGAGGATGGAGCAGGTCTGTCGTGACAGACCCTCTATAAAGCACCGACCCTTCTTCCAGCCTGGCCTGGGGAGCTGGGACTGATCCAGGACTCTTACTCCGAACCGGGGAAGGGGGACCCGGCAATGCCACCACGTCAGTATCGGGGATGATCGCTATCGATGGCCAGGTAGGTGGGAAGGAAGCGGAGAATGCCAGGAATGTGGCGGTGACGCCGGCACCCGCTGTCAGCCAGCAGTGGCACTCCCTAACGACGCAGGCTGTCGGAGCTGGCTCCTGAGTCATAGCTCCTGCTCCTGCTGCGGCTGCTCCTGGGGCCCGAGCTCCGGCTGCTGCTCCAGCTTCGGCTCCGGCTCGTCCGGTAGCTGGAGTAGCTCCGGCTGCGGCTCGGGGAGCGGCTGAAGCTGCTGGACCAGGAGGAATAGCTGCCGGCGCTGCTGGAGGAGGAGGGGCTGGGACGGTAGTAGGGGATGGGGCGTTTGCGGGCACTGTGGGGACAGAGAGATGTGGGTTACCAACAACGCAAGGACAGACTGGCTGCCAAAATGTCCAAAAAGCACTGTTTACTCTGCACAACACTCCCAAAAATGTGTTTGCGTTTGTTTAAAAGGAAAAAGAGATCAGGTAGAGCCTTGGGATTCAAACCACCCGCCCCCACAGCCCTGGGGAATGTCTCAGCTGTTCAGTCTGCTGGGCACTACTTGGTGTTGTCCCCAAGAGCCCTCTGCATGTAGATTAGAGTCAATAGTTGACTCTCTCCAGTGTGGGACATCTACCACAGGGCAGGGTGAAATAAAAAGCCTGTGAGGGAATGCACCTGAGTCCCTGCTCTGACTTCATCTTCTGATTTCCTTCTAGCTATTGTAAATTGAGACCCTCTCCATCCTCCCTCTGCCTCCAGCTGGAAATCCCCAAGCTCTAGGGGAGGGGTGGAAGGGCCTGCTGATCAGGCTCAGGGAAACCGGTCTCCCAGAGAAACCTCCTCTGGCAAGGGCTGGGACCCACGGTCAGCCCTCATCCCCCCGGGAAGTGCCAGCTGAGCCTGTCTCCAAAGGATGGGCCAGCATCCCCTTGCCTTGTGATGCGCCGAGCTTCCAGGTGGCTGGGAGAGTCTCTCCGGCGTTTCCTCAGGGGGGAATAGGAGCGACGGCGCCGCTGCCGCTCCCGGTGCGACTCCTTCTCGCTGGAGCTGTACTTGTGCTCCCGCTCGCGGTCCCTGCGGAGGGCACAGCACCGTCACTGCGGGGGCTTTGGGGGTGGCGCAGGGATGGGGATGCACAGGTGAGCAGAGGATGCTCAGCTTCAAAAGGGACACTCTAAGCACTCTGGTGGCGTCACCCCTGAGCACTGACATAGCTGGACAAAGAGACTGGACACCACTGCTTGCATCCAGGGCTTCCAGCAGCGTCTTCCAGTGGCTTTGCACCGCCAAGCTAAGATGGCTCCCAGGGACCTGTGCCTGTGGGTGCAGTCTGTATTGAGCTCTTGCTGGCTGTGCTGCTGGAGCTGGCAGGAGCAGCCCTGCCAGCAAGGCCCCACGTGAGCCAAGGGCCTGGTAGCCCTGCAGGGCTCCGCAAGCCTCGCCAGAAGGAGTGCCGGTGTTGCTATGGTTTTCTCTTTTGTTAAATTCCCGTACACGTCAGCACAGGCCCTTCTGTGCAGCGTGGCTGATTTCATACACCCTGCTCGGTGCCATCTGCAAAGCAACACGTTACAGGTCAAGGACCTGCCTGATCCCTGCATGCAGGAAATGTTCTCCTCACCAGCACAGGGACTGTCAAAGCCTGCAAGAATCGACCCTGAGAATGTAAGATTTTGAGGTTGCAAAATGTTCACAGCAGCGCAGGTGCTATCAGGAAAACCTGCCAAAGGCTTCTCGAGCGTTGAACTGTGAGACTGTTTCCTACGGAGTATGGTGGGAGTAGAGGTGCCTGGACTGCATTTCCCTCTTCAAGGCTGTGAGTGCCAGCCTGAGGGTACCTGGCATCTGCCCTCACAGCAGGGGCACTTCCCTGGGCCTGACAACTCTTTGTCAGAGCTGTGACTCTAAAAAGTGGAGTGTCTTTCTTTGATGCAGTCAGGTCCCTCTCTGACAGGGGATGCTGGCTGTGTGGGCAGGCCCAGCTGGAGCCTTGGGCTCTGCCCACCACTCCCAGCAGCATGACAGGGATGGAGGCATGGGGAGAGTGAGAGGCAGCAGGTTCCACACATGGGTGGACAGTGAATACCACATGAGTAGACAGCTGTACCTGCTACGGCTGTAGCGGGAGTAACTGGGGCTCCGGCGAGGCCTTGAACTTCTACTCCCAGGACTTTTTTTGCAGGATTTGGAGGAATAGCTGGGGGAACGTGTGGAGGACCTGGAGATAGGAAAAAACCAAAAAAGAGTTAAAGATGCTGGAGGGTGAGGGTGTACCAGACTACTCCAAATCACAAGGGGGAAGAGATGTCCCGTTCTCCAGGGTCTCACACCAGCTCTGCGTGGCCAGCTCGCCCCAAACCTTGTCGATCTTAGGCATCCCCCAAACTCTTACACCTCCCTCTGCAAGGAGCCTGCCCAGGGTGACAGAGACAGTCGTTCCAGGTGGCCTTACCTCTTTCCCGAGGAGCAGGACCTGCTTCGGGAGTACCTGGGAGAGGCCTTGTGGTGCGAGGAGCGGGAGCGGCTGGAGCCGGGGGAGGACCTGCCCGTGCTGGTGTAGGAGTCGCTGCGGGAGCCAGGCCTGAGCGGGGAGCTGGGGGCTGGTGAGGGGAGGAAGTTTCGCTTCTTCTCCTCTGAGGAACCGAGACATGAGGATAGGCACGCTCTGTGAACATATATTTGGATGCTTTTTGAAGCTGTGGCTCAACTGGAACTGGTCCCTGGCTGAGGGGAGCACCATGCTCCAGTAAATAAATATTCCCATCCTTCCATTCCCTAACTGGGGGTAAAAAAGACCTCTCAGCTCCCCAGGCTGCTGTGGCAGAAGAGCCCACATGTGTGGGCCAGAGTCCAAGAGCTCACCCTCCAGGCTCTGCCAGGGAGAAGAGGTGTGGAAGAGCTCTTGGATGGCACAAGCAGCAGCTCACGTGCCCCATGCCCAACACACCAGAGGTGTCTGGCTGGCAGAGCGTGGTCAGGCCAGTGAGCAGTGCTGGTCCTGGGCAGGGAGTGAAGGGAAAAGTGCTGGAGCAGGGGAAAGGCAGAGCATGGCAGGGCAAGGGCTGTGCTCCAGCCTGGCTGTGGAGCAGCATGAGTGGGCACTGAGCAGGCATGAACTGTTGCCTTTGGACAGCGCTGTGTGAATTTCTCCTCTTCCAGATATGCTCTGGGAATGAACTGGGGTCAGAGCCCAGCAGCCAGGCAGCCTCCCAGCAGCCAGGGCCAGCTGCAATCCCAGCTCCACCCATGTGAAGGCAGAGTTATCCCACTGGAGTCTCCACGTGAAAAGTACAGACAGACCTAAAATTTTACCCTCTGACTGAAAAATGAGGCTTCTTCTTACTAAAAGCCATTACCCTGGCTCCCTCCTGTCACATTCAGTGCTCCAAACCATGTCCTGGCTCTAACTTTCAGCCTTTAGGACCCAAGGGCCTGAGCTGGAAGAGCTCCCTACAACCACTGCCTGAGCCCAGCCCTGGGTACCAGCCACCATGCTTCAGCACCCTCATTCCCAACATCCCCTGGCAAACCCAGGAATGGGAGGCAGTGATGGAGGCTGGCAGCTACTCCCCTCTCCTGAAGATGGCTTGTGGCACTGGGTGGTGGTTGGATGCCCTGTGGCCCCAGTGCAGAGCTGCTGCTGTGTCATCCTGCAGCCAGCCAAGTACTTGCCCCTCCTTGTGCTCCCCACTGGCAGGAGATGCTGTCTTGGCATCCTGAGCTGTGCTGGATGAGCTGGGAAGGGGAAGGGGGATGGATTTGGCTCACTGGACAGGTGAAAGAACAGCCCATAATGATCTTAGTGGAAACAAACCCCACTCCCCTTCCCCACAGTAGGCAGAGAGGGAGAATTAGCATGGCAACCCCCAGATGCTCCTTTCAGATTGTGCCCTGAAGGGCCAGAGACTTTTTTGACATGGCTGTGCCCAGGTGAGCAGGGATGTGCTGTGAACAGAGCCTGACCCAGGCCCAAACCCTGCATGAGCCACAGCAATGCCAAAGCACTGACACAAGCAATGTCCAGGATGTGATGGCTGGGTTTTATCTTCCTCTTCAGGCTACAGTAACTGGTCCTTGCTGGGTTCTGGACTCCAGACTGGCAAGACCGTGGGTCTGGTTGGTACCTGCCTGCCTCCAGAGCACAGAAAGCTCCCTGCCAGCTCACCACGGCAACTGGCCAGCAGGCAGGAGACACAGAGCAACAACGTACCAGGTATTGGGCTGCCTGCAGCAGCTACTGGTAATCACTGACCTTCGGTCTTGTCCCTGGGCATCTGGAGACAGATTTTCCAAAGCTGTTCCCTTGGTCTGGGAAAAGCAACTGGTGAAGGAATTTCCTGAATCAGAGCTGTTATCGCTGTTGGCCAGTTTGGGCTTCCCGGACGAGAAGGCATGGCCAAAGCCATCATGGACTAGACTTCTTTTCTCCTGGCTGTCCTTTGACCTGGATGAGCTCGTTTGAGTGGAGGGAGGGGAGGAAGTATCGTTTCCTGAGTCATATTCATGATACTCTCCATTCTGGCTGGCTAGGTTGCCAGGCGGGCTGTCTGTTTTGGTAAAGAGGTCAGCAGAAGACCCTGACTGAGAGATCTGAAAGCAAAAAAGCCATTTGGCATTGTTTGAATGGTTTTTGGGGGGTTGTTTTCGGTTTTACTTTGCTGCTTTTTTTTTTTTTCAAATAAACCCAGAAATTTTACCATCATGATGCACTGAAACAAAAGGAAAGGAAAGGAAAGAAACAAAGTAAGAAAGAAAGAAAAAAAGAAGGAGAATAAAACAAAAGCACATATCCCTAAAAGAAATCCACAGTAAGAAGAAACTTATTTTCCCCCTGCTATAATAACGGGAAGATTTAGAGATCATGCAAAGAGTATCAGCATGCGGTTCATGTTAAACAAAAGAGTTCAACAAAGTAAGTGGGCAACCAAAGAATTAAAATAAATAACTAACTAAACAAAAAAAAATGTAACAGAGGACAAAGCCCTTATTTAACCTTAAAGAGGGAAGGAAAAAAAAAAGGGGTACATACATATAAAAACCCTAAATAATCCTTGCAAAGAAAACAAAAATGAAACAAAAACTTGGATGAGTGAATTTTTTTAAGCTTCCTTAATAAAGTGGCTGAACCAATGTCACTAAAATAAGCAACAAAAACCCAAATCAAATAAAATTAAAGGCTTTTGTACAAAGCAAAAACTGGCAAATAAATAAGCTTATCACTTTGAAATAATAATAAAAAAAAAGAACAAAAGAAAAAAAATTAAATTAAAAAAAGAGGGTGAGGGGGGAAAAAGAAAAATCCCTTTGGAAATAAAAGGTATACAGATACTTCTTTGTGTGCTTTTTACCCCCTGAAGAAGATACAGCTAATGCGCTCAAGTGACCTCTAATAAATTCCCTGGTGTCTTGCGGATAGCATCCACTTACCCATCAAGAACTCCTCCTTTAGTAGGTAAGGTGTAAGAAAAAAGGAAGAGCGGGCAACATAAGTCCATCATTAGAGTCTCAAATTACATGAAAAAAACATAAACCCTCTCTTCAATCCACACTGCCAACTGTTTGCTGCCTCCTCTATGCAAATCTCATGACTGCTTTTTGTCTGCTTGCTTGTCTCCCTTATTATTCATTTTTGTTTCCTTCTGCTTTAAATTAGCCTGTCCAGCCCATTCCTGGAGGCTGATGGCTTGTGCTGAAAGCTGCAGCTTGCACTGAATCCCCCTGGGTTGGATGGAAATGGCAAAGGGAACTCGAGTGAGCTTAGAAGCAAAAGAATAGGGGAGGAGAAATATCCCCACGCTGTGTATCAGAGACCTGTGGGGAAGGGGACGGCAGCCCTGCTCCTGCCAGCCTCTGCAAGGGGGCCAGCCACACCCTGGCTGGGTTGCTGAACACAACAAGGACCTCAAACTCACATAGACTGACCTGGGCAGGGCTATTCTCTGGGACCCTGAGCACCATTGAGGGGATTTACAGCATTTCAGTATTTTATAGTTCACTTTTAACTGCACTGGCGTTACCTGAGCCAGCTCAGGAACGTGGCAGCACTGGGAGTGAGGCTGTGTTAGTGCTAACATCTGCCCTTGCGATGGGGTGAGAGCCCAATGCACACATCTGCACCCTCATGTGGCCTCCTCCTCTTTCACTCAGAGCCTCCACTCTCCTCAAACCCACCCATGAGGTTTGGTGCAGGGTTCTTAGGGTGTGGACACACAGGTCTGGCTCCCCCCACTCAGGACAGTCCTCCAAACGTGTTCCCAGCAAGCCATACTCCCTCAAACACGTGCACATGCCCTCACGCCACGCTCTGGGGCACACAATGCCCCCATCTACACTGTGCTCTCCACACTGGGGATCTGGGCCATGCCCTCACCAATCTGGGGCCTTCTGAGCCAAAAAACCACATTGCAATGTTGGTGCTATCTCAGGCAGCAGAGGAGACCTGGATCAGCTGTCACACAGCAGGCACAGGGCCAGTCCCTTTGGAAAGTTTAGCTCTGGACTGGATGGCTTTTTCATGCTCAGAGGGGCTGCAGACTCAGCCTGTGTCATGTTTCACATGTATCTCCTTCATCCTCTCAGATGGTGCCTCCATGTCCACACTCCTGCCTGTGGCATTCAATCTGTGTCCCCAGGGAGAGCTGCTCCCAGCCCAGTTCAAGGTGCTAACTGGGACAGGGACAGCTGACTCAGACACAGGTGCTGAACCAGCAGCAACTGAAACCAGAGCAGAGCTACCAACACCCACAGCAGCTCTCAGCACAGTCTGCAGAGGGATGACCACAATACTCTGGTGCTCTGAAAGCACCTGGAGCTGGAGGATCTCCAAGTACTTTCTGTGTTGCCAGGGAGAGAAGCACTAATGCTTCTGGGATAAGGGATTGGTTCATCCCAGAAAATCCATAATGGAGCTCCCATCTCCACCCCACACTAACTTCTAATTGATGCTCAGTCCCAGCTCAGAGGAATCAGAAGCCCCAGGAGCAAACAAGGGAAATGAAGTGATCCTTCTTCATTAGCCAACTTGCACCTTCAATGCAGAAGCTCAGGAGAGAGAAGAAACTTCTCCCAAATGTTCCCAACTAGGAATGAGGGGAGGCTCACATTGCAAGTCCTCATTTCAGTGTCTGGAACTGCTCCTTGCTTCTCAGCTCTAGCAATTCTTTACCAGTCCTTGCTTACTCCAGCAGAAACTGGAATTTCCCAGGAGCCTAAAGGAGCCAAATAGCCAACTCTGCTTTTCACCAGTTCTTTCTCAAACCCTGATGCCACATCCAGAGCCCCAAGAGATCCGACCTCTGTGCTATGGACCACTGCACTCTCCCTAGCCACATTCCAGAAAATATAGTATTGCACTTTCAAATACGTTACCAGATAATTTTCTTAAAAGATGGGTTTTGGTTTGCATTCAAGCTGAATCCTAACACTGAAACAACCAGCTTTTCACCATGTTTCACTTACAGGCATGAAACCGGCATGTGAGGTACTCCCTGGCTGCAGGGGTTGGATGAGCTTGGAGTGGGCACAAGGCTGCTCCAAGGGACACTGACACCAGCATCACACACAGAAATACCTTCCTTCTGTTCTTTCCCAGTTTAAACAGAAAGGCCCTTATTTCTGCCAAGAAATACAGCAGTTTCTTGGCATTTCTAAACCAGCTTTTCAGACTGACTCTGGGACCTGGCATCCTTGCTTCTGCTCTGCCTTGGCTGACATCTACCTTCAAAGCAGCAACTGTTGTCAGCACATCACAAAGTCTGTCAAATGACCGGGAGGATCAACAAGCTCCTTTGTAGTTCAACATCTGTGGCAGCAACGCTCTGGGAAGAGGCGGTGTGGATATCAGTGAATTATGGAGCTGACAGTCTGGGTGAGGGCTGGAGGGTCTGGGTGGGGCAAGGGAGGTGCCAGGGGGACACAGCAGCTTCTCAGCCCCACCACCCTGGGGCACCAGGCTGTAGCCAGTGGCTGCCTGCAGGCTCTGGGGGAGGTTGTGCCCAGCAGCAAGAGCCAGGACAAGGCTCAGGGTGATCAGCTTGCCCGTCTGCTCAGACCAATTCCCCATATCCCCCCACTGGATGACCTTGGCTTTGCTTGTGGTCCCATTTTGCTGTTTCTGAAAGTCATGCCAGCCACCCAGAAACAGAGTACCACATCTAAAAACACTGCACAGAGCTCAATTGAATCACACCATTCTGTGTGATTCTGAATTCTAATGGCTTTTTACTTTTCTAGGGTGGCTTAAAAGAGCCTGCTCTTTCACAAATCTAATTCTCTCTATGTGAACATTTGGATTTCCCCCCACACACAACCCCTAATAAGTAATTAAATAATCTCACTGAACTTTGCTTCATCCAGCTTTCAGCAGTGAACATACTGCTGCCCTCAAGGGAACCCAGGATATGTATTTATTGGATTTTTTGTTTCAAATCATTATTTAATCAAGATGAGGGGGGAGCAGAAATGGGGCCCTCACTCATATTCCAGACTCTAATTCCAAGTGCAATCCCAGGCCAAGAGGCAGTGCAATCTAATAGGTTACAAAAATACAATCACTGCTCATCTTCCAATTAAACCGAACAGTTCCCTTTACTGTGCCACCAACAGCCCTGGGGCCAGAGATGACAATGCCTTGTCTCAGCCATACGGGGCCAGCAGCGTGGCACAGCCTCGCTCAGAGCTGCAGGATTTCTTCCCTGGGTCTTTTTTTCTCTTGTTTTGCAACTCACTTCAAAGCGGAGTTAATTTCTCTTTCAGAGGGGCATAACGTCTGCCTTTCTCTTTCTAGGCACTGTGCTAATGAAAGGAGTGAAACACTTGTGTTGGTGACCCTGGTGAGCCCCGCTCTCGGCGAGGGCCTGGCCAACATCTGCCAGAGCTGCCAGCACAGGGACAGCACCTGCTGGGGCTCCTCCACCTGCCAGAGCTCGGGGGAAATGGCCTCACCTCTGCTGAGAGCCTACCCCAGCTGAAAAGGCAGCTTCTCATTGAGTACAAAAACCAGAAGTTCTGCAGCAATTCAGTAGAACCCCTTTTTGCAGAGTTAAGAGTCCCTGACTGGAGGAACACCGAGTGGGAAAATCCCCCTTTTTTTGGCTGGGTGGGGAGTTCAGGGTGAGGCTTTCTGTACCACAAGGGCTGAGTCACAGAGCAGGGAGGCAATGTCACAGCTGTCCCTGCAAGCCCTGAGCTTGGCTTATTTGAGGCTGGATGGTGACACTGCTGAGCAGCCTGGCTCACCAATATATTGCTGGGGTAAACTCCAGAGAATGACAATCCTTCTTTTCAAGGATCTTTTTAGCCTGCTGCAGTGTGGGCATTGTATCCCCACCTCAGCTTGAGCCAGGCTGGCACTGCTTTGGAGCAAGGGCTTGTCTTCCACCACCTCTTTTCAATAGCTGGTGCACAGCCCAGCCCTTCAGTGGATACAGACACCCATCCTTTCCCCACGGCTGCTGCTCCCAGCACTGAGCTGTGGATTTGTTAGACAATAGCCAGGGGTAACCTCAGTCCCCCGGCTTGGAGGGGAAATGAGAAAAGAAAAAAAAGAGAACTTCCATATTTATAGAAGGTTTTGCCTTTCTGCTCTTGAAGGGCCCTGTTTGCTGTCAAAAACATGCTGCCTAACACTCAGAAGAATAGTTTTTCCTCTGTAAGCTAAAACCCAGGCTAGAAAACAGCAGCAGCAAGCCAATATGCAGGTCTGCCATAAGGTTTCCTCAGCCTTCCAGCACACTTTGTCTGAGTCCCTGCACAGCATTTTCCCATTCTACCTTCCTGCAGACACAAGCACAAAGACAAACAGCATCATTTGGACCAGCTGTACCCCACTGAGCTTCACTGGAAATCTGGCTCAAGCCTGTGATAATTTGTGGCATCACAAATGAGTTACAGTGAAAGCAAAGGAGCTGGCAAGGAAAGTGTATGCACGGTGCAGTTATCTTCATCAGCAACAACAAAGGCAATTAGATCTGTGCCCTGCAGGTATTTATATTGCACTGCTAAAGGAAAGCACAGTGGCACAGTCATCCATCTGTGTCAGTGTGGGATAAAGTGCCTGCAGCTGGGCAGGGGTATTCTGTACACAAATAAGTGCTGCACATTGCCCACAGCTTCTCTGTGCCTGCTGAGGCACAGACCCACAGTCCTGCTCTCCATAGGTGCCATTGCGGCTGCACGGGATTAAAGGAGAGGGAGAAGCTTGGAAATTCACTGCCAAAAAGAAAAGCAGCAGGGAACTTTGAGGTGTTTCTGCATGTGTACATGCATGTGTGGGTGCATCAGCTTTTGCATAAAGAGGGAAGGAAGCAGCAAGGTAGATGCATAGGCAGGGCATTGTTTTGTGTGCTTTATCCCCCAGCAGTTCCAGGCAGACCTAGTTAGAAATTGTGGCTGTTTCATTACAAAGGAATGAAGACAAATAGGGTGGAGAGGATAGCAGAATTTACCACAAAACACTTCAAAAATTTTCAGAAGCAAAACAATGTAGGAAAAAAAAAACCATCTTGAAAAGAAAAACCTTTCTTTTGGAAATGCTGTAGATTACCTTGTATTTCCCTGTATCTCTGTGTTTTTTTTTCCCTGATCCTCCTTGGACAGTCCCTTTCCTTTGGAAATATGACAGTGCATCTCCCCAGGTAAGGATGGTTTGGTTTGGAAGCCCAGGCCAGATGGAAGGATAAGGAGTGTAACATACCAAGTCTCACATGGGACTGAAACATTGCATTTTTGAATTCTAATTCTGAACTTTTTCACAATTTTTTTTTTTTTTTTTTTAATATGTGATCAACATAGTCTGCAAGAGGACATTTTCATTTCAGGCTGCTCTCAAAGTCTGACAGAACGAAGCTTATTCATAGAGCAACCATTTAACTCATGAAAAGGAAAGGCATCAAAGGGTTGTGTATAGTCATTAATAAATGAGACTAAAGGTTCCCATTCCATTTTTCCCTTGCCAGTTTGGAGTACATGATATTTAATGACCTTATTCAGCAAAATTTCAGGGGCAGCTCTTAACCAGGGGCTTAAATTTGAACAAGTGCTTAAATGTGCTCTTGAATGGTGTCCCAAGAGAATGTACTTCTTTTGGGGACAGGAGGACAGTAGTGGCTTTCATCAGTCATTATGCCTTTTAGTCATTAAAATATTTGCCTAAGTTATTAACCCTTACTAGAAAGAACACAGGAGTATCCTGATGACTTTTACTTTGCATCCACCCCCTGCATCCGGAACTATCAAGCTCTTGTCCTTCCCTTCCCTGCAGATTTTCCATTTGCTTCACTCATTTACCTTGAGTGAAGCAAATGGAAAAGCAAGTGCAGGATGCTTGAGTTTAGCTCATTTTAAAGCTTTTAAAATTTTAAATTAGAGTTTACTCTTTCTCAGGAAACAGAACAGCTGGCAGTTGGCCTCAAAGGACTTAGTGAGCCTGGCTTCCGAGAGAGGAAACCTAGCACTAATTAAAAACTAGGCTTAGGCTCAAAAGCATTTATGAAAAATACGCCGCTTGAGCTAAGCAACACCCTGGTGAAATGATGGAGTCTGGCTGGTTGGCTTTTTTTGGGGGGGCAGGGAGGAGCTCTGAACTCAGCAACACCCCCAGTTCATGACAATGAGCTGCATACCTTGTTTTTCTTCCTTTGCGTGTGCGTGCACACATCAGCGCGTGGTGTGAGGTTCTGCTCTCCACGCTGCCTTATAAGGCTGTACAAGCACTGACTCACATGGCCCCACACGCTCTATAAGGAGAGCAAATATGCATATCTATAATGTTGAGAGACAGCTTGTGCCTGTCTGTACCCACGTACAATCCCTGGGTATTTTGATCAGCACGCTGTCTGTGTGGGTGAGTGGGTAGAGTCTCTCCTCTTGCTGGCACCATCGCTCTCCTATCTGATGTAGCTCCTGCGTGTGCCTGAGCTATTTCCAACTGATGACTGGGCCCAAAGGAGAAAACAACTTCGGGGCTTGGAGGACTCTGTACTCAAAACACCTCTAGTATTACACATCCACATGTGGACTATCAGATCCTGCATTACCTCCAGTCCTACGTAGCAAGTTCTCTCTCCAGAGTGCCTATCTGATACCAACACCACAGTCAGGGCATCACACCTCTGCTTTACTGCTGCCAGGACCAAAGGGGAAACATGCCTCAGAAAAGGAAGACTGATATCAATCTCTGTCTAATATTTCTCTCCATCTCCTGCTCCCTCAATTCATGTATTATATCATCTCTTTCTGTGTATATGGAAAAACATCCCAAGGCACTGAGCCTGATTTTACCCTCAGATGCACAGGCAGTTCCCATTAGCATCAATGAGGGCTGCTCATAAATTCCAAATTTGGCCCCTGGGCTTGTCAGTCCAGAGGAACAGTGATCCTAGAAGGATCCTGATAGTCAGAAAACATCCCATGCCAATAGTTACCAGCTCATGAAATGTAAATGTTCCTTTTGTATATGTTTTATACCCTTTTTCAGCCTGAAGGACTAAACTTCTGGATGTTAAGACCAGTGAATGAAGTTCACATCCAGCTGAGCAAAGACTGCATAACAAACTCTTCCCTCTAAAATATAATTTCTGGAGGACACTGTTTTTTCTTTCTTTCTTTCTTTTTTTTTTTTGTTAAACGTCCTCAATTCATTATTCATAGACTAAAGACTTTGCAAGTTTTCCCCCTCTCCAGCCCCACCCTTGGTGTGAAAGTGCTGAAGGAAGGAAGGACTTTACATACATTGGAAAACAGCACCATGAATTAATAATACGGTTTAACCAGGTTTGTCTAACATCACTATAATTGAGTTATAAAAATTTCATATCAGAGTTCTTGCCCAGATTCCTCTGGCTAGTTCAAGCAAAGAAGGACAGTGTATAATACTTACTACTTCCTTAGAAGACAGGAAGCTGTAGAGTGGGAGGGTTTGGCTGGCTTTTTGACTGGCCTGAACCTCAGCAGAGGAGCTTCTCTTTGCCGTGATCTTTGAATGGTGCCAGGAGTGTCTTCGCCGTGTTTTACGCCCTTCCTCCCGAGACCTGGCTCTGTGCCTCCAGGAGACAGGAACAGCCAAAATGTTATTCCTTAGAATTGCAGTAGTGCCCGTTCCCAGCTCCTCACCAACCCTTGGCAGGTCTGTGCTAGCACTCTGAGTATGGAAGAATGTTCTTCCACATGACTGCTCTGTGGAGTCATGAAGGGAGTGAAAAGGGATGTTTTGCTTTTGTACTTTAAAAGGAAAAAAAAAATAATTTTGCATGCAGGATTTGGACCTTAACCTCAAATTTCAGCTCCAGTGCATGATTCTATGGTGGCTCAAACCGTGACCTTCACGCACCCTAGAACGTTCCTATGGTGATACACCTCCAAAAGAAAACAACTCTGCTCTTGCATGAGCACCCCTCCAGTTATTGATTGCATTCCTCCCCCCACTGATCCTCAGCTTTTCATAAGAAAATTCCCAGTACTTAGGAGGAGTGAGGTAGGAGAGTGGGAGTGGGCTGTTCAAGTGCTTTCAGAGAACACGAAACACGAACTCATTATGTGTATAAATCACTTGCTGTTGCAGCAATGCTGGGTCTAGCACCAGCATCCACTTAGCTGGCCCTAGGATGCATCAGTCATCCAGAGGAGAGATTTTAATCAGGTCAAAGACAATGACTATAGATTGCCACAGGCAAATATATTTCCTTTGTTTAAGGGTTTCCTTGGACATCAGCAGTACAGAGCCCTTGGGGTGGGGAAGGGACACTAGACTGGAATCAGCTGTCATGGGCTGATCATCAGCCGTGGGGATCAGAAGTAACTGCTAGACCAAAAAGCTGCAGCCACTGCTTCTTGAGGCAAAACCCTTCCATGGCTGAGACCACAAACAGCTCAGCCCCCAGTGTGTGACATTGCTGCTACCAGAATGGGGAGTGGCTGTGCACAGAGAGCCTGTGGGTCACACAGGCAGTAGCAGCCTCATCCTTGAGCCCAGCAGGAAGTGCTGAGGATGCTGAGCTTGGCAGCAATGCCGTTACCTGCTCCGGCAGCTGGGGGAGTGGGAGTCGGAGCTCTCTGAGCGAGAGTGGCAGCGGCGATGCCGATGGGATTTCCGGGTGCGCCCACGAGAGCTTTAAGAAGCAGAAAGGAAAACCAGCATTAGGTTAGCAAGTTGGGGGGATGCAAGTTGGGGGTGAAGGCTGAGGTGGATAATGTTCAAATCAAAAGGGAGATATGCCTTTTAAACCGAAGAGACTGGTGTATGAAATGCGGCACAGTGTATCAAGGCATGAGAAATTCTCCATCCCTTCATTGCTGTAGTGACATCTTCCTGAGATCTCTGCTAGCGTTTTACACACAAGCTATTAGGTTGGCTCTGTAGCATGCTGGGGGAAGATTAGTGGACAAGCACGTGGGAGTGCAGTAGCCAGCATCAATCCTTTCAAGACTTTAAAGAGCCATGTGCTTGCCTTTCATCCTGCAGCCTGCCCTGTAACAACAGCCAGGCAACTGCCCAGGACCTTCCTCTTGGGAAGCCTTGGGAGAAGCATCATCTCTCTGGGCAACCCATCACAAACTTCCAGCCCTCTCCCTAGTGTTGGCTCCTCGAAGAGCAGGTACTGAAGGAGAAGCTCCAAGTGAGAGTACACTCAGTAGCAGCCAGCCTTCCCCAGCCTCTCCAGGTGGGAGCATTTAGCCAGTCTTGTGGGCAGCTCTCCTGGCTGCTGCACAAAATACAGCTTTCCTGCCTTGTGCACAGCTCCTGTTTGAGAGGCAGGAGCATTTCCCTGGCTTCTGACAGGTGCCCAGTCACTAGTGCTGCCTTTTCTGACAGGGCCTGAGGAGAGTCCTCAGCAACCTGTGTGTAGGGGACCAAGGGCCAATGCCCTGCTGCAGCTCCCTTTGCAGCACCAGGCTGTTTCTCATGGATTACCTGGCCCTGTTACTGAAGGACTATAGCTGGCCATACCAACAGCTGAAGTCCTGGGTGCAGACAGCAGGGTGACATGGGTGGCAGGCTAGCTGCCACCTTCTGTGCCCCATCCCTTCCATCTTTGCTCACCACAGCAGTTATTTTAGATCTGGAAGCATTTCCATCTGCTCAGGCTGGCACGGCCGTGCCAGCAGGCAAAGCTAACTGGGTGAGCTGGTGGGAACAGCCTGGCTTCATGGCCACACTACACAGCCTCTGACAGCACAAATACAGCCTGCTTGGACAGCATTTAGCAACTTGCTGGTGTAAAAACTCAGCAAATAATTGCTTGAGAACAGCATCTCCTTTAAGACAAAAGGGCAACCTCCAGGGCAATTCCTTCAACTCTGCTTGGCTGTTTTCTTTGATGCTTTTCACACCCAATGATTATATATTTTTTAAAACTCTGCATTTTGGGATCCTCCTTTCTTATTTCCATACAGCTGAAATCAGCAACGCTGAACATCTTTCACTCATATGGTGGATTTGTGTGAAAATCCCTGTGTTTGCACTTCACCCCCTGAATCAGCCCCTCCAATTTATTATCCAATTCCCTTCCTGCAGAAGGGGAAACTGGTCCTGTGTGATTTAGATAACCAGTTGCTTGATGCAAAGATAAGTTAAACCAGTGTGATTATACAAAAATCCTCAAGGGATCCATCTGATCCACGCCTGGGAGCAAAAGGTTTGCAGAAACTGGGAGTGGCTGAGCTCTGATTTGCCAGCATAAAGATGAAGCTGAAACGCCTTGGCTGTTTTATCCCCAAGGAGCAATTCCAGCAGCTCCAGTTCCCCTGAGGTCAGAGAACACCAGCAGGACATGGATGTTAGGTTTAACTGCACTGTTAGGGTACTGCTGTGTTAGGCTGGGGAGATGCCTCCTTTTACAGGTTACCTAGGAAGCCTCTTTTTTCCCACTGAGGTTTCTAGGTGCAGGGCAGCCCAGTTGGAGGGGAAACCGAGCTGAAACTGCCACTTAATACACAGAAATCTTAGCAAAAAGGAGACTGGCTTTCTGCATGTGATGGAGATGGCCTGTGCAGGCAATATCCCAAGCCCCAGCAAAGCTGACCAGGGGGTGCCCAAGGTTCAGCCCCAGGACTGTTTGTCCTTGCTCTGAAAGCAGGTGAGAAGTCACAGGTTGCACTTCCCAAAAGACAGAGAATGGAAGGGAAAACAGAGGCAGCTTATAGTCCTTCCTTCCAGTCCTGAGGAACCCCATTTTATACCACACCCCTTGATTACATGCCCCACAGGACAAGGACTGTGCTCTGCTAACACTCCAGGGCTAGACCTGAACACCAGATTTTTGCAAATTCCATCCCCTCCAAACAATCCCCTGTCTTCTCCCAGGCCCCATTCCAATTCTTGGCTGTGCTGTACCTCATGAGTAGGTCGTAATACAACCTCCTAGAGCAGCAAACCAGGAATTGCTGAGGCCCTTCTCAATAAGGGTGTGCCAGCCTACCCTTTTGGCAGGACAGAGCTCAGCCTCTCATGCCACTCCCACCAGAAAAGCTGGAGCCTTCTCTCTGGACTGGGTGGGCAAGACTTTGCACATCCATGCAAGAGACATAAAGTACAGAAAGAAGTGTTACAAGAGAAAGGCAGAGGAAAGATCTCCAGCCTCTACATATCCTTTTCCATTCCAGCAAAACCAGAATTGCTGGTTTTAGCTTCAAAATAATCCTGAGAAATGCTTAGAGCTGTGCAGCAGGTGTTAGCTCCAGGGGCCCCACCACATCAAGCACTTCTAGCCCCACACTGTGCAGGCAGGGCAGAGAGCTCCATGAACCACTACTTACTGTTTTTTGTGTTTTCTTTCTTCCTTTCTCTTACTTTTGGGGCTTGAAGAACTAAATAAGAAATGGCTAATTAATTCGGAGATTTCTGTTCCGATAAAAAGCTGCACAATCACACGTCAACGTTACAGCTCAGTTGCCCAAGAGCATGCAGTAAAAATAAAAGGGATTCATGATTGTCACAGCACAGGGGGTCTGAGTGCCTGCTGACAAATCTGCTTTGTGGGCTTGGCCGAAGCCCTCAAAGGAATCAGCCTTTTTCCATAGAGAAAATGAGTATCTCTTGATAATGTATACACACATACTGGAATCAAAAGAGTTCTTCCAGTCCACACCTGGGGAGTCACTGACCCCAGACCCACATGGAATGGGGGGGACTCAAGGGCATTCCACAAAGAAACACAGAAAAAATGCCTTCTGCCCCCACTCAGTCAACATCAACCTTGAAGAGACCATTAAACTCTTATTTCCAAGGGACCACCCATACTTGCTCAACTCTTACCTGTGCCTTCTCTTCTTTGATGATAACCTGCAAGACACAAATATGTACATTGAATACAGGGTCTCACAAAATTGGAATTTTGAGTCCAAAGCAATGTGTTTAGGCTCAGACCAAGCACTGAGAAGACCTCATGCAGCACCTGGGCAGAATGGCCCCTCCTCTCCTTTGACCAGCTGGTGAGGGAGCAGCTGAGAAATGCTGGTGTGGCAGAGGGGACCAGTACACTCTACAAGTAATTGAGAATATGGTCCTCAGGAGGACAAATCTTTGGAGAGATCAGATACATCCCCTATCTCTGGTGGGTCAATTTTCTCTGCTACTGCCTACAGTTTTGCACTGCAAGTAGAGGTGGGTCCATTCCCTGGTTTTCTGTATGAAGGAGCAAATAGTAGTCAAGGGAAAAATCCTTTGTGTAACTCCAGAGCAGTTTCACAGCCGAAACAGCCTTGTGGCCCTGTCTTGCCTCCTGGAGCACCCCTGGGATGACATCTCTCTCGTACAGAACACCCTGGTGGCATGGAGGACATGTCCCTGCAGCAAGGCCTGGCCCCAGTGCACTGCACACCCCACCCCACTGTCTCTCCTCTCAGCTTGGAGCACAACATCCTGCAGAAGACACAGCCTGAAGCCCTGCCTGGAGGGGCTGTGAGATTGCCTCTGGCAAAGTCACTTGGGGTCTGTAGCTGAAATGTTACCAGGTGTCTGCAACAACCTCCACTGGTCACTGATACTGAATGGTTCATATCATGCTGCCTTATGGAACCAGCTCCAGCTTATCCTTGGCTAGCAGGGGCATAAATGGCTACCAAAGGTTCAAAGCCAAAGAGTCTCTGACCTAGGACTTCCATCAGGAGATAGCATCCACAAAAAATCATAAGAATCCCTCCTTGGGAAGAAACTGTTTTAAAGGAGTTTCTATATCATTGTCTCTCCTTCTCCCTTGCTCTTCTTTGGAAATTCAAGCTCAACTATTCACCCTATTATCCACTTTTGGTAGCTTCTCTCTTTGGTTCAATATATTATAAATACATGAACCTTCTTAGGGAGATGGAATCCACTGTTCTCTTCAAATATTGGTTTAACAGCTGAGAGAAAACAGTGAAATATTTGCAATTTAAAAATTTAATCACGCTCTTTGAATTAAAAATGGACTTCAGAAGGGGAAAGTAGAAACAGTCACTGGAGTTGGGAGAGAAGACTGGGATGTGGGCGTGGGAAGTTGGTCTGAGCCTTTTCCTGGTCCTGACACTCTCTGCAGGCTGGGGAGGAAGGGATGGGGACAGCGCAAGCAAGCCCTGAGCACTGATCCCACTGGCATTCCAGAGGATGGAGATGTGACTAGGCCAGCAAGGACAGCAGGCTGAGGCCCCGCAGACCTCATGGCTTGTCCTTCTCTGTGTCCCCACACTCCAACAGCTCATGTTTCTCTGTTTGCACGGGGTGGACACTACACTCCATGCCCTCCTAGCCCAGAGGGCCTCTGGCTCTGCCTCTTCAGTGCTTACAGAGCCTCATACCTCTGTGCCCACTGGGACTAACAGCTGTCTGAGGTAGCAGTGCCTTCCACCCCTTCTCCAAGCCCCCAACACCCATTGCCAGCAGGAAATTACATTTTCAATGGAAAAATACCTGTTTCTTTTTCGCTTCTTGGAGCTTTTCTTCTTCTTCTTCTTCACAGGTGAAGTGCTGTAGGAGGGAGACCTGAGGGGGCAGAGAGGCATTAGAGACCACAGGGCTGCTCACAGCCATCCTGGCCACCCCAGCTCTCACCAGCAGCACCTCCAGGGCAGAGAGTGGCTGGGGGCTCCTGGTAGGAGCAGGATGAGCCCAGGGATTAGCCCAGAGAGGAGCCTCAACCCAGCTCTGCTGCCCTGAGGGGAGGGCGAGAAGATGGCGGCACCTCCCTGGGCTGTGGAACCCCCAGGCCCTCACAGCTCCATCTTACACTGACCCTTTTCCCTCATGCCCTGCTGAGGGCTGCCATCCCCTCCTGCCCCACACAGCGCCATGGCCACCCTCACATCCCTCACTGACCCTTTTCTCTCACAGCCAGCCAAGGGCTGCCCTGCCTGTCCCCTCACGCCGCCATGGCTCCCTCATGTTCCTCTTCCCTCACACCCAGCTGAGGGCTGCCCCGCCTGTCCCCTCACACTGCCATGGCTCCCTCATGTTCCTCTTCTCTCACACCCAGCTGAGGCCTGCCCCGCCTGTCCCCTCACACTGCCATGGCTCCCTTACACCCAGCTGAGGGCTGCCCCGCCTGTCCCCTCACACTGCCATGGCTCCCTCATGTTCCTATTCCCTCACACCCAGCTGAGGCCTGCCCTGCCTGTCCCCTCACACCACCATGGCTCCCTCACCTCCTTCGCTTCTTGCGACCGGATTTCTTTTTCTTCTTCTTCCCCCGAGCCGGCAGCGGCCGCTCCCCATCACACGAATGGCTGAGGATGGGGGACAAGACCCAATAAACATTAAAAATAATAAAAATAAACCCTGAATAGGCTCGCATGGCATCCCCACCTCCAGGACATGGGGCAGCAAGGTCAGTGTTAACGGTGGACCAAGGGTGTGGGTGTTGCCTCATTACTCTCTAACTAATTATTTAGTTACAGTTTAAATGAAGTGTCTAATAGAGATATCACAAGACAGCCCCACCACAGCAATGCTGATTATTTAAAACATGTTTGCTGAGGGTAACGACTCTGAAACAGATTTATAGGTTTTGTTGCTCTTTGTAAATATGCTTTAAATAATTAATTGGCATTTAATTTGCATATGGTAATTATTGCAACCAGATGCATCTAACTATAATAAAGACTTGACATGTGTTAAGTAGCAATTGATTAGAAATATATATATATAGATATATTTATTGAGACACTATGATAATTGAAGGAGATATGCATCTCTTATACAGTTGTTAAACCTTAAAAATAAACCCTGCTGCAAATTAATTTCTTCTTTAAACATATGATGCTGGATTGTGTTATGTTTCAATGAAAAGCAGATACTGTGGTTAATTAATTCAGAGCACTAGGCTGAAAAAAATGACAGATACTCTGTGGCTACTCATTAACTAAAGCAAATGCTTGTAAAGACAGAGGCAGCTGGTGGCAGCCTGGTGGCATCCCTACATCAGCCACAGGTCCCTCTGAATCCCCAGATGGATCCATGACCAAGGTTTGTAGGGGCACAGTGAGTTCCCTAGGGCCTCTGAAAAAAATCACTGAGGGTGCTGGGTTTGTGCCTTGGTCTCCTCACTTCTTATCCTGCCCCTGGGAATAGCCAGGAGGTGGAAGCAGCCCCATGGATGGAGAATGCTGTCAGGTCTTCACTACAGAAACAGGCCAAAAATTGAGCAATTTTCTGCAGCAAGAACAAACATTATTGCTAATGAAAGTCCTAATGCAGAGCAAATGACACTTTGGGAAGGACACTCAGACTCCACCACCCCTCAACACTTGATCATCCAGGGCTTGAATTAGCACTGAAATTATGCTATCATAAAAACTCAATTGCTTAGTGCTTTTAATACACTTTGGGGGAAAAAAATAAAAATAAAAGCTCTGCAAAATAAAACTGCAAGCTAATAATTCAGTTGTGAGCTGTGACTAATGAGTGCCCCATGGAGCACCCACACACTCCTCCTCACTGTCTCCTCCCAAGGATTTCACGGACCAGCAGCAGCAGCAGCATGAGAGGCTATGGCACACCTTGGGCTCAGTTGTGCCTTCTGCCTCAATGCAGACAGAAATCATGCATTTTCCAGAATGTCTCCTTGTCACTAAGCTCAGACACCTGCCCAAAGACACCCAGGGGCACAGCTGGGCACTGCCACAGTCATGGGAAAGCAGGGAGGAACATCTGACCATGCAGCCACAGGCAGTTTCTGCAGAGCCCTTCTCCCTCTCCCCAGATAAAGTCTTTTGTCTTTGATGTAGCGGCTTTCTCCCATGTGCTGATCTGACTTCAATTGTTCCTCTGCGATTATAATCAAAGTCTAATTAAAAGTGTGCTTTAGATTATTGTTCTGGCTGGCCTGAAATCTGAAGATATGAAATGTGCTTTCTTGCTCTTTCTTTCCAGCATCTTTAACTGAACAGAGAGGCTTTAATCCCAGAGACAGTTGAGCAGGCAGGGCTCAGAGACCCCAGCTGCTTCATTTACAACGTTCCATTCATTTTTCCCCTCTCAAGTGGTCAGGGACTAACGACAAGTAGATAACGAGGCTGTGTCCTAATGAAGGCAGTGCTGCTGAGCTGATCTAGGCATGGGGAGAGGGGAATTGCTGAGGGCGATTCCCAGCAGACCTGGTAGTGCAGAGGAGTGCTGGCAGGTCTTGGAAGACTCGGAAGGAGGCTGTAAGAGCAAGCCCTGGAGTAGAAATGAACTGCAGGTTTGTCCCTGCAAACTCGCACAGGGATTTCATGCAATTGTACACATTTTCTGTGCACACACCGAACCACCCCAGCGGTCAGAGACCCCAGAGGGGCTGAGCAAACAGCCAGGGACACCTCCCCTGCCACCCCCGTGCCCCAGGGTGGCCCCTTTGGCGGCTCCTACCTGCGTGACCTGCGGTGGGCACGGTCTCGTCTGTCCCTCCCCTTGGCACAGCCATTGGCGCTGGCAGGCTCCCTGACCACACAGCTGCTCAGCTTCTCGGGCCGTCTGTCCTCCGCAGGGTACGGCAGGCAGCTGAGCGTCCCACTGCTGGGGCAAGAGGAGACAACAGAGCCATCAGGAGCTGTCCCTTCAGCTGGGGTCATTCCCCACCACCTGGGGAATCTCCTTTCCCTTTCGCAGCTAGGAGCTGTGCTGTGAAGGAGAGCTGCAGGATGCTCTCAGGGCTCAGCTCTGCAGTGGGATGTGCTCCCACAGCGCTCTGGGATGCCCCGTTTCCAAGCCAAGCTGCACCCCAGCCCAGGCATGCTGTGCTCTTTGTTCAGGCCAAGGAGCAGCTGGACAGCACAGGGCCAGATCCAATCCAACGGGAAGGGAAAACAGGAGCCAGTCAGGACATCATCTCCTGCACTGTGAGGTTTAGATCACCAGCTCTGCAGAGACAGCACAGATTTTGCACTCTTGAAAGAAAAAACCTCAAACCAACCCTTTCCCATTTCAAATGTAGTTTTCCAAACCTGCTAATACCTCGATAACACCTTACCACACATCCTCACCCCTGACTGGCAGCTAACTTCTCTGCTCCTACAAATCAGGTGCTGAGCTAGTGAACATACCTGGTCCTGCTGACAGCCCAACCTTGAGAAGCTGGGACAGCCCAGCAGAGTTAAGGGGAACCACTGGGGCCAGGTCAGTGCCTGCAAGAGCCCTGGGAGCTGGCAAGGAGCAGAGCAAAGGCAGGGAAAGCCGGGAGGGAGTGGTTTCTAAGAAACATTGGAGCTTATGCAAGCTGCAATGGAGAAAAGAAGCCGAATGGAGAAAACAAACCCAAACAAGTCTGCGTGCAGACACTCAGGAGGAAAGTAAATAGGTTTTCAGACCCTGCAGATGTTTATTTCAAAGAATGAAAAGATTAATGAAAAGCCATAAACCTTACCCAGCAGGGTGCTGTAAACGCTGGGGTTTGGTGTCATCCAGAGCATTATGGAATAGATAAAGCAAACATGGGCATGTCCAGGCCCAGCCTAGCTGTGGGGTGATACCCAGGGTAGGCTGGGCTCAGCTGGCACTAAAAGTGTCCCCATTATCTTGTCTTCCCATTATCATTTTAAAGTCAATCCCAGGACTGGGCTGTGGGTGCCACTTTAGGATCAGCTCTGCAAAGTCCTGTGGTTGTGTCTGCCACCAGACCTACCTCCTCTCCTTGGAAAGCAACACTCTGGAGCCCTCAGACCATGTGGATCCCACCAGAGCAGGGGGAGGCTGGGATGTCCTGCAGCCACCCTGCTGCCAGCCCTGCAGCCACAGTAAAAGATGCTTTGGCTGCAGAGCCCACCACAGCCATCACACAGGGACTGTGGAGATAGGAACAAGGGCCAGGTGTGTGCTGCACATCTGGGGGTTAAGTGGGGGCTAGAGGGTTGGTAAACAGCGATGGCACATTAAAAAAGCCCCAGTTAGGCATGGCCAGAGTCTTGCATGCCCCAGAAAACATCCTGCTGGCTGCTTCAGCCAGGAATAACACTCCTTGGGGTTGGAGTTGGCACAGAAGCACCTGCAGAAGGGTCACCCCTCTCTTCCCACCTGTGTTTTCTCTCTCAACAAACATCCACTCTCTCTAATAGCCAGCTCTTCCTTGGAGCCCATTTTGTTATGCCTTAACATTTAAGGATATGCACAGCCAAATAAAAGGGACAGGGATCAGTGGGGAGAAGCTGGGTGAAATATTTCTGGCCCAGAACATACAGGAGGTGAATAGTTCCTCTTGTTTTAAAAAGTCTTTTTGTAATAAATCCCCCCAGCTTCCCAACATCTCCATTATTTTTAACCATCCAGGAAGCTACATGGTTAATAGTTTTCTGTTTGCCAGCTAATTGGCCTGTGGCCTTTCCCAAACCCCTTTTAAGAACAGCCTTCTGAGGCTCAATCATTAGGATCCATTAAAAACGTCCCCAAATTAATGACCTGTGCAAAGTCTGAGCTGGATGCACTCCAGCAGCAGAGGCAGGAGGGATCCTCCCCAGGCTGGCAGCAGGCTGGAACACCACTGCCAGGACCTGGGCACGGCAGGCAACATCCTTGTCACCCAGCCTCTAATGGGATTTCCAGGGCCTGGGGTTAAAACATATTGGCCTCGAGGCAATCAAGGACTCCTGTCCTGCAACGTGCCAGGAACCATTTCTTCTGGGCTTGGAAGTAATTATTGATGGAAATAATTATTCTCCAATTGCATCAAAGGCTGGCTTTCATTCAACCAAATGTTCTCCTCTGATGGATGCTGAGAGTCACTAATGCTTTAAACTGGCTGGTAATCCCCTGGCGTGGAGCTCCATAGACATTGATTGAATATATATATATATATATATATATATATATATAAACATTTTCTTTTCTTATTGTCTTTTGTGTCTTTCATGACTGATATAAAAGTGATGCAGTTTGGTGTGAACGATCTCTGTGGCCTCAAAGGAGGGATTATCACACCTTCCCTGCTGCTTGTGCCTGCAGCAGAAAAGAAAAAGCCTCTGTGGGTGTTTTTGCTGGAGCTGGCCCAGAGAGAGCAGCGGGGATGCTCAGCAGGATGCTGCTGGAAGCACGGGACTCACTTGGCCCAGGGGATGTGCCAGAGGAGGCAGGGAGAAGAGGAACAAGTTGCACGTTTGTCCCTAAGGATGCGCTTGCTCCTGGCCACAGGCAGTGGGACCAGGACAGGGCACCTGCCCACCCATTCCACCTGCCCTCCAAGCTTCTCCATTTCCACTTGACAATTCAATCACTTGCACTTGGTTTTTTCCCCTTTCTTTCTCCTGTGCAGAAATCCAGCCTATCCATCAGACCTGTCCAGAAGCAGCACAGCTACTCCTGATGGGAGACTCCCCACAGTGGGGCACCTGTGGGCTGCCTGCCACCCACTCAGGGCACAACATGCTCTGTGTAACCACCCACCACAGCTGGCTCATCCTGTCCCTTCCCATCCCAGCAGTCTCTGGCCCAGGATGGGCTTTCTGGGCTCATGGCAATTTTTTTCCAGTGCTGCAGTGGCTGAAAAAGCAGCAGCAGGCACACAGGGCCCTCCACCAGCACAAGCCTCTCTCAGCCCAGCTTGCTCACCTCCCCACTGTGGTGCCAGATGTGGGCTCTTACAAGTACTCCCTCTCTAACAGAATGTGCTGTCAGCAGAGGGAAATGATCTATTGCCTACCCAAATACAAATGATGCTGGGAAGGTCACTGGTGGGCAGGAACACAAATATTCCTTATTTGAAGGTGGATGAAACCACCACAAACCACTATGGCCACATGGAGGAGAAGGGATAGGTGGCTCTTTGCAGCTGGCACTGCCCTGCAGAGTCCCTGAGGCCAACCCACTCTGCCTCCCTTGCCTGGGGAAGGGATGTCACCCCCAGTTTGTGGGGATTCCATGCAGACCAGTTAAGCACTGCCCTTGCCCAGACAGATCCTGGCGCTGTCCACAGAGGACAGGACAAAGACACACAGTGTTGGCTGCCTCAGGGAGCAAACTCCCAGACCATGCCCATCCCTCCATCCTGAGCTGCATGCCATGGCCAAATGCCATCTCATCAGGCCATGAAATGTGGCACTTGGTGACGCACACTGCTCGGGGAGCTGGGCCTAGTGACACCTGTCCCCCCAGGGCCCACAGTGACAGCAGTCAGGGTGGGTTTGCTGTGCATTTGACATTCCCTGGGTGCTGCCATCCTGGGGTTGCCAGGCACAGCCCTCCCCTGCCCACAGGCTCCCTTGTCCCAGCCCAGCTGCCCTGGCCCCGCAGCAGTCTCCTGCCACAAGCCTTCCATCAATCAGCCTTTTCCTCCCAGTAACTCATCTCAAGAGGAGACAAAAGCAGGAAAATTGTCTCCCTAGTGACCTTTCAGCTGCTGCACCGTGGCACCAGACAATCTCCTGGCTCAGCTGCATTGCCTCCACAGGATGGACCCCAGCAGTTCCAGCCGTCAGTGGCCTTGTGCAGCCTCTGTGCCCCTCCCAGCTGCCCCGCAAGCAGCACTGTAAGCAAACTGGGTCTGGATCGTGCTAACCAAGCAGTTTCAGGGTTATTTTATTCTTTATTTTCCTTTGCACACACAGCTGGGTTGGGTGCTGGATGCACAAGCATTTCAGAGGCACTGGGCACTGAGTGCACTTGGCAGACCTGCACTGGCAGCACTTCCAAGGTCAGAGGATTTAGGATAGCCAATGTAGAAACTTTACTATGTTCCCTGCTTCAGCCCTGGCTGGCTTCAAGTTCCCATCATCTCTACACCCCTAGTGAAAAGGCAGAAGCAGCTTCAGCCAACCAAAACCCCCAAACAAAAGAGGTTAAAACACCTCTGATGAGCCTAAAAGCTGTGAATGTTTCACTAGAATTAAATGATGAAGGATGGATACCTTGCCTGGAACTGGGAACACCAGAACACAGGCATCCTGAGGGGAGGCTGGAGAAACTCCTGTGCCTGCAGCTGCTTGCACCAGGGATGTTCTCTTTGCCACTTTTCCTGAGTGACATGCAAAAACTGCAAGGACAGGTGATGGAATATCCCATCTTTCCTCTCCTCACCTGGAGGTTTTGGCTGTGCAGGAGAGGGCAGTGGTGGGTCAGGATCCCTGCTCTCCCACATTTCTGCACTCTCTGCCACGGCCACATCACGTGTGCTTCTGCCCTGGGCTCTAGTGAGGGTGATTTGAGCTGCTCAAAGTGTTTTTAAAATCCATCCTTTGGGCTGAGAAGCCTTTTGGCACTGGCAAAATGAGCCTGTGACTTTCTCTCTCGCTCTCTGGCTTTGCTTATCTGATTGAAAATGGTCAGACCATTCCCTTGTCCCCTGAGAAGGAGGGCACAGAAAAGAGTGTTGTAAAGACATTTCCCAGCAAAAACTCCAGCAGATGTGTTTATGTAAAGCTCTTTGAAATACACACTAAAAATACCTCTTCAGAATTAGAAGATGGGGAATATTGTGAGTGCTTCCCACAAGCACACACATACACACACAAACACCCATGGCAGGTTCTTTGCCCACCTCATTCAACCCGTTATTATTAGTGCAGCAGGAGCCCTGCAGTTTGTTATTGAAAATTATAATAGCAAATCACCGAGATATTTTCCTTGATTACACAGACTCCAAGCCAGT